AGATCAAGATGCACAGGGTCTTGATATGTCCTTGGTTTCACGTTTTACTAAAAGTAACTATTGTTTTAACATCAACTTCATGTAAGGCCACAGTGGCGATATCATTAGTGGTTAAAGTCTGATCGTCTGTGATCACTTAGCCTTTGATCCACCAGGACTGCAATGGCCATTAGAGCAACCTTCACCTTGACCTTGCAGGACTGCAATGGCCATTATAGCTACTTTCATATTGACCTTGCAGGACTGCAATGACCATTATAGCTACTTTCATCTTGACCTTGCAGGACTGCAATGGCCATTATAGCTACCTTGACCTTGCAGGACTGCAATGGCCATTATAGCTACCTTCATCTTGACCTTGCAGGACTGCAATAACCATTATAGCTACCTTCATCTTGACCTTGCAGGACTGCAATGACCATTATAGCTACCTTCACCTTTACTTTGAAAGATCGTAATGTGAGCAACCATCACATAGACTGAAAGTGTAGAGATTTTCATTTAACTATATTGATCATTAAGGATTCCTCTCACCTTCACTTTGAAGGACTGCATTGATCATTAAAGCAACCTAACCTTCTCCTGAGTTTGAAGAACTCCAATGATCATTGAAGTTATTGATCTTCACCAAGAAGGACTGCAGAAAATGATAGCTTCCCCTGGAATTTGAAGGACTGCAATAACAGCTACTTCCACTCAGACTTGGAGGATGAGTGCTGGCTCCTTAGTGTGAGACCACTGGTGAGAACAGATATTCATTGGAGTCCAAAATGGACCACACTCCAGAGGGGAGACTAATTCAGGATAATTTGGAGGTAATTAGAGGGCTATTTTAACAAATGCAAAACCTCCACGGCTGGTAAACTACAGGTATACAAGTTGGCCAGGAGATGGGTGTATCAGGTACTGGGTTTGCCAGGGTGTAGTAATGAAGTTTACCTGACTTGATTTAGCTACAGCATTAGCCAGGAAAAAATCACACCAGGACACTGATGTATGGACGGTCTGCTATATATACTTATACAGTTAATTACCAGATACTTTAACGAATAAATGAGTTAGTGCAATTTACATCAAAACTAGAAGTGCATTATGGTTGTTCTTGTAACACACACATTAACATTGTACAGAGAGCTTATAGACAGATAGATTGTGAGCAAACAATACAATCTCTTAGACTAACAGTGCAGCATCCTTAGATTAATGTGCATACACTTTGAACTATGTGCACAAGAAGTATCAATGACTTCAAAAACTATTAAATATTGCTTAGAATAGAACTATGGTTTCTGTGATAGTGGTGTTATATTTCTTTGATTATACATGTACAGGTATATACCTTGTACACTGAAGTCTTGCGGCTCAAAGAAATAAAGAACTTGAACTTGTTATAGGCCAGTTTGTACACCATTGTTTGACCAATAACGTTTTTCGCTCAGAAAAACCCCGTTCACTTTGCTATATAGACAGAAAGACTTAAAGGAATAAGAACCTTTGAAAACTACCTTTTGTCTTCAATACTGTTAATTCACCTGTCTGGAACAATGAAATGTGAAGCCTGTTTAGAGAGGTGTTGGGCTCCACATAAATACACCAAATATATAGGGCTGTCGAAAAAAAAACATACAGATGTTCATTTAAACCTGAAAGTCAACCACACAACCAGGAAATTTCTGTCTCATTTTTAATGATATATTTGAAGTAGGTTGAAATAAAATTATGGGTCCCTAGGAAAGAACAACTTCATGCAATTATATTTGATCATAGCAGAAAAGTTAAAATACCATCAGGTCTTAGAATGGAGGGTAGAAAGCATTATACTGAGGATTATATCATGGAGGTGTTTCTTCAGATCTCTCATCACAGAAGGAGCGTGAAAAGCAAGTGAAACTGTTAGTTAAACAAAGTGGTATATTGTGGGTACTTGTGTGAAGTGCTGAGGTAATGGCTGGGTCCTGATGTACCTCCACACTTACACATTTATGTAAGATGCACTTTGTTGCAAGAGTGTATTTCTGAAGAGCTCCTTTGAAAATGGCACTGGATATAAATGGGGTTTTGGTAAAGACAGATTATGTGTGATATATGGGGGTTTGTCTTAAAGTTTAGCAAACAAAACTTGGTGATATAAAAGGCTGACTTTGTTATGAGGCATAGAAAGTAGGATTAAGTTGCTAAAAGATATCCACCTCAAACCAACTCAATCTCGTTTTACCTTGTTTAAAACAATAAATAAATTACTCCAGCCTTCTATAGTTAACGTAAATGCAAACTTGATCTAAATGTTATAGTACACCCGACTCTTCATATCTATCCTTTGTTGAAATGGAGAATTCAGTATCAGAAATATTCGTGCAAAAACATAATGGGTTTACTTGGGGCACTGTGAGCTTTAAGATACATGTAAACTGTTCAAGAGATAGTAGCCATCTGGTCACCAGACATGTTAGTTCTCCTCACACCTGGATCACCTGTATATCTGTCTGTTATTGATCAATGTGTGACAAGTATTACCAGTGTTATAAGTCACCTGAACAACCGCTAGTTTTACCTCCCTCGTGTGATAGGTTAAACAATTAAAATAAGTCGCTAAAATAACCATTACATTTACCTCCACGGTGTGATAGGTATAACAATTGTTATGAATCACTTAAACAACCATTACATTTACCTCCCTCCTGTGATAGGTATAACAATTATAAATCATCTAATTTCCAACATTACATTTGCCTCCCTCCTGTGATAGGTATAACAATTCTAAATCATCTAATTTCCACCATTACATTTGCCTCCCTCATGAACTTTTCTGCAACTAATACAAAATTGATGTCTGACCAACCCTTGCTTCAAGTACTAGGTAAATGCTTGACACCCTTGCTTCAAAGAGGGGGTGACAAAGACTTTGAAAAAGGAGGGAGGAATGTAGCGGAACTTGAATGGGTCGTCTATCGGCGACCAGGTTAAGCTCAATTGATAGAGCGCCTGTCTAAAACTTAGAGGGTCCTGTGTTCGAATCCTGGTTTGTCCATGCATTTTTCTGTTCCTATTAATTATATATGTATAATTTAGCTATATTTTAGATTTTTAGATCTCCAATGAGAAGTATTACATGCACAACTGAATAAAAGGTACTTAAACAAACAGTATGTGAACCTTACTTGTGTTATTGATATTTCCAGCATTATAAATCAGTGGAACAGCTGTTGTGTTTACCTCCCTCTTGTGATTTCGGAGTGTCAACTGTTTCCTGTGATAAGACTTAAAAGTCTCATTTATTGTCTGGGAAAAGTTTTTGATTTCCAATGCAACCATCAGTTTAGCAATGTCCTCTATCTATGAATAAAAAAATCAAGAAACTAGGTTTCTTGATGCTGCTATTTAGGAAGTCAGTCCTATTTGTTACTTGTTTTGTACAATAAGAAGAAAGTAAAACAGAACTCTAGTGATTAACAAGGAAGCTTGTTGAGATATAAGGGAGACTGATTTTCTGGTACCAGCATGTTAGACCCAGATATTGTTACCTTAAAACAAACACATCTGACAGATCATCCATTCTGGTCCTGTAAAACACACTAATACAACCTAATGCAATCTAATACACACTGGGTTTGAGGCAGGAGAGCTACACTAAATCCTCTAGCTGCGGGATCAACATTGTAGTACATCCTAGCAGGCAGATTGTCATTAAGTCTCAGTATTTAATGTGGGAATTAAAAATATTGTTTTTTATTCATGAAAAAAGTTCTTGCTGGTCACAAGCAAATCAATATAAATGTTGTCTTTTGAAGATTTTATTACCCCTCAATGAAGTTTACTGGCATGAACTATAATGAAGTGTTACCAGGTTTTATAAATCAAATAGGTTATGAATAGAATTTCATCACACCTGATAATCAGACTTAATAAATGAATTCAGTAATTATACCCCAGTTTGAACCTTGCAAATTGCTTTGCCTGGCAAAAGTTATTTGTGAATATGATGTTTTACAGTAAATCTGATTGATTTGAAAATCATATTATATTATCATACAACAAGATGTGACTAAGAAAGAAGGACGAGGTGTAAAAACTAATGTGTCTTTGTATACGTTTACTTCAGAGTCCATCTTTGTTGTGATGGGGTAAATAGGTAATTGTCATGTGACAGACCATGTGACCCATTCAGCTATCTTTGACGTAAATGAGCATGCAGCGGTGTAAACAAACATCAGCGGCGGAACACAGAGTTTCAAACCCGAAAAATATGTCATATGCAACGATTAATAATGGAGGTATGGCTGAACAATTTTCTTAATTTTCAGTCTATTTCATCATAGCCCTGCATGAGTACTGTTTGCTGGGTATGAGAAGATTTAGTTCGTACAAGAGTTCTATAGAGCCGATTCTGTTGATACTTTGTAGGAGGATGTTTAAGGGATATACGTGTACTTTATTCTGCCATTGTCGTCACTAAATATAAAGTACGATGTATTTTTGAGTTTAACTATTTTTATGGTGGAGATGAAATGGTAGAAAATGGGATGAAGTAAAACTATTCTCATTTCTTTCTGGGCAAGGCCAATTTCAGCCTCAGTTACTGAGTTAATCTATGTAACTGGTTACCTCAGCTAGATCTGCTTATTATCACCAGTGCTAACCTTTGCCATCCTGATTACACAAGTCTAGATCGCTATAATGCCCTACTTAAGGATGAAAGTCCTACTGATGTGCCCTATTCCCTTACATTATACAAAATAAATCTATAAAAAGAACGCTTACAGCAGTAATTAATTGGTATCCCAGGAAGTCTTTTAAAGAATTACTGAAAGTTTCGGTAGGTGTTTTCTTGGATTCATGTGTTGACTGTTAGTCATTATGAAACCAACATTGTTCTTATCAGCAGATCTGTGTTTTTGTACAATTTGTTAAGTTCTAAAAGAAAAGTTTATAATTAAATAATTATACTTTAACTTTGAATGTATCTATTGCCAGTATTTCCAGGTAATAAAAAGGTGTCTTACCTGTATGTAGGCTCCCAGCTGTCGATAATTACAGGTGTCTAATTATGATTAGACAATGCTAATTACTAGTTGTTATAAGATAGTGATGAGGCTCTCCTCCACAATCCTGGGTTTTCCAGCCTCTGTAGCTCTGACCCTGTAGCTGAGCAGCCTGGGTGCCAGGAGAACAGGGGATGTTTATATTGCCAGTATAACACCTGAAAGAACTATCGGAGCTTTCCTCGGCTCTACTGTATCAGTTTGTGTCTTCACAACAAAGTAGAGACGTGGTAATGCGTAGTAGGGAAATACAGAAAGAATTAGAATGCACGTTTTTACCCTCATTAAGCTGGAGGTATACACAGGGGTGTCTTTAACTGGGAAAATATTGATAAAAGAATGACTCCTCTACCACAAGTATAATAAACTATGTGTCCTTCCATGACCTTTAAAAATTACTTTTCCTTTTGAGAAAATTTCAAAATGGTCTTATTCAAAAAAATTCCATGAAATCCAATGAAATTTATATTTAAAGTAGCTGTTTCCATTTTATAGCTACCTCAGAAATAATCGTCTGTGGGAACATTTATAACTGAATTGAAATTCCTGTACATGTATTGATATTTATATCACACTAGATATCTGAGTTCTTATCATCAGGAACCTGTATGACAATATCAAAGACAGGATTGTATTTTTTCTGGTAAAAAAAATCAGTAAAATGCTTCTTTTTTTTTCATTTCTTATGAAATATTGCATAATAAGGATCTTCTAATATCTGCTTTGTTTTAGAATTAATTGTTTTGTGTCGTGTGAAACACAGTTGTAAGTTGATATGTATGTGTATGTACACAAGATTTGTACCAATATTCCCAGGCATGTTGTATTACAATAGGCTGCAAGGATCAAAAGATTCACAACTCCTGACAATAGCTGGGTCAAGTTACACAAATCTACATACAAACACGCATCCTGTGGACTGACACACTTGGTGATACCATCCTAGCAGAAAATGTTATCTCCTCATTATAATTAATGAACAGAAGTTTGCTCCAGAAACATTTCTGAGTTTGAGTTATGGATTATTTATTGGATTTAATGATTAGTTGTTATGGTGTATTGTTTATGAGATGAACAAAGGACCCCCTAGATGAGACACAATTGAGTTTATCTGTGAAAATCATCTACTGTAGTAATATTGGCAAATAAGTTTTGGCTGAGGACAATTTTGTACATCTTGAAACATTTCTTTAATGTTCCTAAATGTTCTGTCTTGGCCCATATTTCATTGGTTGCTTCAGGTTGACCAATCAGCATGGCAGAAATTTCAGCCAATTAAATTCTTCACTACTGAAACACATGATGATGATAACCAGCAAGGTACATGTTTTGTTAACAGACTTGTTCCGATTGATATTGTTGTTCACACAAAATGTTTTACAAAGTCGTTGACGTCATCTTTTATGATTGTTAATAGTTGCTACAATATAAGGAAACAATGAGTTGCTAAGGAGGAGACAAATACGGGTACATATCAAGATTTAAATGAGCGATACCATTAATCAGCGATCGCATTTCATAACTGCGAAATACGCATCATTCCAATAAAACTAAATTAAATTCAAGCAATAATTACCATACTTTAGCATACTTCTTACAAATTGGGTCATAATTACATCTGAATTTAAGGGTTGATTTTGTAACAAATAAAAACAGTNAACGTTGTCTGGTATTGTGTATCACTGATGTCTGTATGTTTAAACGTTGTCTGGTATTGTGTATCACTGATGTCTGTATGTTTAAACGTTGTCTGGTATTGTGTATCACTGATGTCTGTATGTTTAAACGTTGTCTGGTATTGTGTATCACTGATGTCTGTATGTTTAAACGTTGTCTGGTATTGTGTATCACTGATGTCTGTATGTTTAAACGTTGTCTGGTATTGTGTATCACTGATGTCTGTATGTTTAAACGTTGTCTGGTATTGTGTATCACTGATGTCTGTATGTTTAAACGTTGTCTGGTATTGTGTATCACTGATGTCTGTATGTTTAAACGTTGTCTGGTATTGTGTATCACTGATGTCTGTATGTTTAAACGTTGTCTGGTATTGTGTATCACTGATGTCTGTATGTTTAAACGTTGTCTGGTATTGTGTATCACTGATGTCTGTATGTTTAAACGTTGTCTGGTATTGTGTATCACTGATGTCTGTATGTTTAAACGTTGTCTGGTATTGTGTATCACTGATGTCTGTATGTTTAAACGTTGTCTGGTATTGTGTATCACTGATGTCTGTATGTTTAAACGTTGTCTGGTATTGTGTATCACTGATGTCTGTATGTTTAAACGTTGTCTGGTATTGTGTATCACTGATGTCTGTATGTTTAAACGTTGTCTGGTATTGTGTATCACTGATGTCTGTATGTTTAAACGTTGTCTGGTATTGTGTATCACTGATGTCTGTATGTTTAAACGTTGTCTGGTATTGTGTATCACTGATGTCTGTATGTTTAAACGTTGTCTGGTATTGTGTATCACTGATGTCTGTATGTTTAAACGTTGTCTGGTATTGTGTATCACTGATGTCTGTATGTTTAAACGTTGTCTGGTATTGTGTATCACTGATGTCTGTATGTTTAAACGTTGTCTGGTATTGTGTATCACTGATGTCTGTATGTTTAAACGTTGTCTGGTATTGTGTATCACTGATGTCTGTATGTTTAAACGTTGTCTGGTATTGTGTATCACTGATGTCTGTATGTTTAAACGTTGTCTGGTATTGTGTATCACTGATGTCTGTATGTTTAAACGTTGTCTGGTATTGTGTATCACTGATGTCTGTATGTTTAAACGTTGTCTGGTATTGTGTATCACTGATGTCTGTATGTTTAAACGTTGTCTGGTATTGTGTATCACTGATGTCTGTATGTTTAAACGTTGTCTGGTATTGTGTATCACTGATGTCTGTATGTTTAAACGTTGTCTGGTATTGTGTATCACTGATGTCTGTATGTTTAAACGTTGTCTGGTATTGTGTATCACTGATGTCTGTATGTTTAAACGTTGTCTGGTATTGTGTATCACTGATGTCTGTATGTTTAAACGTTGTCTGGTATTGTGTATCACTGATGTCTGTATGTTTAAACGTTGTCTGGTATTGTGTATCACTGATGTCTGTATGTTTAAACGTTGTCTGGTATTGTGTATCACTGATGTCTGTATGTTTAAACGTTGTCTGGTATTGTGTATCACTGATGTCTGTATGTTTAAACGTTGTCTGGTATTGTGTATCACTGATGTCTGTATGTTTAAACGTTGTCTGGTATTGTGTATCACTGATGTCTGTATGTTTAAACGTTGTCTGGTATTGTGTATCACTGATGTCTGTATGTTTAAACGTTGTCTGGTATTGTGTATCACTGATGTCTGTATGTTTAAACGTTGTCTGGTATTGTGTATCACTGATGTCTGTATGTTTAAACGTTGTCTGGTATTGTGTATCACTGATGTCTGTATGTTTAAACGTTGTCTGGTATTGTGTATCACTGATGTCTGTATGTTTAAACGTTGTCTGGTATTGTGTATCACTGATGTCTGTATGTTTAAACGTTGTCTGGTATTGTGTATCACTGATGTCTGTATGTTTAAACGTTGTCTGGTATTGTGTATCACTGATGTCTGTATGTTTAAACGTTGTCTGGTATTGTGTATCACTGATGTCTGTATGTTTAAACGTTGTCTGGTATTGTGTATCACTGATGTCTGTATGTTTAAACGTTGTCTGGTATTGTGTATCACTGATGTCTGTATGTTTAAACGTTGTCTGGTATTGTGTATCACTGATGTCTGTATGTTTAAACGTTGTCTGGTATTGTGTATCACTGATGTCTGTATGTTTAAACGTTGTCTGGTATTGTGTATCACTGATGTCTGTATGTTTAAACGTTGTCTGGTATTGTGTATCACTGATGTCTGTATGTTTAAACGTTGTCTGGTATTGTGTATCACTGATGTCTGTATGTTTAAACGTTGTCTGGTATTGTGTATCACTGATGTCTGTATGTTTAAACGTTGTCTGGTATTGTGTATCACTGATGTCTGTATGTTTAAACGTTGTCTGGTATTGTGTATCACTGATGTCTGTATGTTTAAACGTTGTCTGGTATTGTGTATCACTGATGTCTGTATGTTTAAACGTTGTCTGGTATTGTGTATCACTGATGTCTGTATGTTTAAACGTTGTCTGGTATTGTGTATCACTGATGTCTGTATGTTTAAACGTTGTCTGGTATTGTGTATCACTGATGTCTGTATGTTTAAACGTTGTCTGGTATTGTGTATCACTGATGTCTGTATGTTTAAACGTTGTCTGGTATTGTGTATCACTGATGTCTGTATGTTTAAACGTTGTCTGGTATTGTGTATCACTGATGTCTGTATGTTTAAACGTTGTCTGGTATTGTGTATCACTGATGTCTGTATGTTTAAACGTTGTCTGGTATTGTGTATCACTGATGTCTGTATGTTTAAACGTTGTCTGGTATTGTGTATCACTGATGTCTGTATGTTTAAACGTTGTCTGGTATTGTGTATCACTGATGTCTGTATGTTTAAACGTTGTCTGGTATTGTGTATCACTGATGTCTGTATGTTTAAACGTTGTCTGGTATTGTGTATCACTGATGTCTGTATGTTTAAACGTTGTCTGGTATTGTGTATCACTGATGTCTGTATGTTTAAACGTTGTCTGGTATTGTGTATCACTGATGTCTGTATGTTTAAACGTTGTCTGGTATTGTGTATCACTGATGTCTGTATGTTTAAACGTTGTCTGGTATTGTGTATCACTGATGTCTGTATGTTTAAACGTTGTCTGGTATTGTGTATCACTGATGTCTGTATGTTTAAACGTTGTCTGGTATTGTGTATCACTGATGTCTGTATGTTTAAACGTTGTCTGGTATTGTGTATCACTGATGTCTGTATGTTTAAACGTTGTCTGGTATTGTGTATCACTGATGTCTGTATGTTTAAACGTTGTCTGGTATTGTGTATCACTGATGTCTGTATGTTTAAACGTTGTCTGGTATTGTGTATCACTGATGTCTGTATGTTTAAACGTTGTCTGGTATTGTGTATCACTGATGTCTGTATGTTTAAACGTTGTCTGGTATTGTGTATCACTGATGTCTGTATGTTTAAACGTTGTCTGGTATTGTGTATCACTGATGTCTGTATGTTTAAACGTTGTCTGGTATTGTGTATCACTGATGTCTGTATG